GAGATGTGTTCAGGACAAACAAACCTCTTTAATGAGTGACACTGTAATTGCAGTTTTCCTCTCACCTTCCCCGTCCAGGATGTAGTCTCGTGGGAACATGATGCCGCAGCCCATGATGTCACCTTTGAAGCAGCGAGGACCAAAAGCATCTCCGACTCCGCTGCCGTGAAAGATCTTTCCATCGTCTATGAGAGAGTGAGAGAAATAAACTGTAAGCTATCCATTTAACCCATTTATTAAGAATTTGTTCCTCTGTTTATTTGTGCTCAGGATTTCTGCAGGATTAATTACACTGAACTTTTTTTTCAAACCACAATCATTATGACAAATTATGAAAGCATGACGTGAAACCAGCCCCAACAATACAGCCTATAATTATTTCTTACATAATATTCTAGCAGTTTCCTGCAGTATCCAGCACTTTCTAAACATTTATATAAATGAACGTGACTCGAACCGTGACGGGTAACTCATTAAAAAGCAATAAATACTACACAATCACTTAAATCTAAGCAAAAAACTGACATTAGTAGCAGCAGCAATAGTAGCAAAGGAACCTTTAGCGTCTCTGGCTTTGTTACTCCAACCCTTAAACATGCAAGCTGCAGCTTGTAACATGATTTTAGCTTCCTTCACACACCAGACAAGTTTAAGTAACCCAAAGAAACAACCACTAATGAGCATGCATGAGCACTTGCTCTCAAATTTATCTCCAACTTTCACTTGTGGACACCACCACAGTTTGCAATCCCTTGTAAATAACTTTTGTGTGACGCATCCTGACTGACTGCAGCAGTTCATTTGTTAAATGCTTTTAATTTGTAGGTGTTTAGTGAAGAAGTATTTGTAACACAGGCAACAAAGTTTCAAGCTGTAAGGCTGAACTTGAGTGAACTGGACCGCAGTGTTTCTTTTAATGTGTTTACCACAGAGGCCGACGTGTGTACATCCAGCGTAGCGCTAACATACAGGACATCCTGACATTCCAGCAGGATGATGACGTGTAAAGGCGGAAAAAAACCCCAGCCACTACTAAAAACACTTTTTTCAAAAGAAGGGAAAAAAAAGGCATCAACAACATCTAAAGGAAATCACCAAAACAACACACACTACAGTTTCGAGCGACAATGGAAAAACGGGGCAAAAGAAAAACATTGCAGAGGTAGCCTGCAGACAAGCTTTCCTCAAGTGAAGCGGCGTGGCTGCTGCTGGTAAATATTTATGGAGTTGTCATGGGACCCGTCCCCGGCTCAGGATACTGTTTAAACAATCTCTATCTGAGCACCGGGAGGCAGACAGAGACACTGTATCATTACGGCTCCCATGCGGGCCCTTGTCACAACACCACACACTAGGCAAACAGTGGAGCCACGCCGGCATGAGGCGCAGCGCAGCTAAAAATAGACGAGCAGGGCTTTGGAGAGCGACAAGGACTGGCGCTAGAGGTGAGCTCGGGTGTGCAAGTCCAGGTTTGGGGCCCACGGTTGGAGCTAGCTGACTGGGAGAGGAAAGGTAGGAAGAGCCTGGCAGAGCATCAAGGGCTGTGGCTGGAGGGATGTTTCCTACAGCAAATTATATATTCTTGCTCGCAGTTTGCTGGCAGTTAGTAGATTTGCTCCACAAGAAACATAAAAAAAATAATGGAACTGCAGCAGACGCCAAGATATCATAATCTGGATACTCGTGAACTTTATGTGGATGTGTTGTAAGGACAAACATGTTGAAATAAAACAATGAACTCGGCTGGACGCCATTTGGAAAAATTCAGACTTTCAAAGTCATCGGATCCCAGCCGAGTGTAACTGCAGCCATTTAAGTTAAAAAATCTACCCAGTGAATTTAAGCATCTCCTCATAATTATCATGAAGGTTTAACAAAAGCAGCCCCATAAATCAACACTCATCCTTTCTCATATCCTCAGTCCAGTTCTTCTCCATACAGTCTTACACCTGTGTAACAATCGTTGACCTGTGACACACCGTAAGGTCAAGGTCACTGAGACTCATGAATTTGAAACTCCTACGTCACCTCATTCTCAAGTTATTGCATTCATAAACTTGGATGTCCACGCTGCCTGCCCACCCGCCCAGCAGAGTGATGGCAAAACCCCGTGAGGCTTTTACGGCTGTAGTGTAAAAACCATAATCAGCATGACCATCACTCTTACTATATTTTCCACATATTTGCCCCCCAAAACGCTCTGCTGCAAAAAATACAGGCACTCAAAAGTACTGCAGTTACTGTGAGCAAATTTAAAGGCTCTGGTTGTTCAGGTAACCATTAAACACATTTACTGTCCCCTCATTTGCCAACCAGCTGCACCCATTGGTAGTTCATCAAACTCTTGGCATGAAAAGTTGAACCTACTTTGCGTCATCAGCAGTTATGTCACATGACCTTGGTTGAAGCCGCTCAATGTCACTGAGCTTGTTTGCACCTTACTTTCGCTGCATGGAGTAAACCACTATTTATTTTACTGGCCATAACAAACTTCTTTTTCCGTGGTCTGTGGTCGCTTGTACTCTGTGTCATTGTATTTGTGTTTACGTTTGTCATTGTCTCTTGAAAAAGTGACTTTTACACAGATAAACATGTATAAAAATAATAGACACATAACTATTACCTATTTATACCCATATTAGTGTTCAGTTTTTCAGGTATCTGATATTTCCTATTGACCTCTGAAGTGACTATTGATGTTTTTTGTTTTTCTTTTCTTCAGCTATGAGGTTCAATTTCCTGCAGGATCTGCACACGTGCAACTCTTTTGATGGCCTGATGAATGATAAAATGCTTTTTGGTTTCACTAAAACTAACGATGCTCACATCCCTTTTATTTGCCTTTAATATATTTGCTTTTAACCAGTTCAAAGCTAATTTATGGTGGGTGTAAGTGGAAGTTAATGACCCTTAAAGGGGACCACATCTGCTCATTTCCTGTTCCATGTTTTTATTCCTGGATTCTTAAAGAGTAGCTTTGGATGATTCACGGTTCAAAATGATTATTTATTTTATAGCGGGCCTTTCACTGCATCTGCTGTGTTTTAGTGCAAAAGAGGATGAAAACTGCTATACTGGAAAGGGGGAAAAAGGGCTGGAAAATAGGCAGTTTAAAATTAGCATAGAGGTGTTGACCAAGGAAGCTAAATGAAGCAGCAGATTGGTGATGCTGTTAAACTGGAAGTCTTGATAATAGATTTAGACTGTCAGTAGCTGTCATCACCACCAGGTGTTATATCTACAGCCAGAGCAACAAGAGGGTGAAAAATGGATCTGGGCTCAGGGTTTGGCGCTGGGCCCTCAGAAGGAGAGCTCAGGCTCTGTGGCTCCTGAGCGACTAAGAGCGCCTGGCTGACGACCGAGACCAGCTGGGAAGAGAAAAACTTTCTGGTAACACTAGAGTTTGCCCGGAAAAGAGCGGGCTTCCCTGCCCAGGGAACAATGACTTCACTGACTCCAAAAACATGAAAAATTAAACCTAAATATTTATATTCTTTCGTGATCCCACACATGCATGTGCACATGCTGCTGAAAATGTACTTCAAATTACATTTGCAGATGCCGTGTGGGTTTATCACAAACTAAATGCGATAAGCCCACATGGCATCTGCCGTGTGTTAAAACCGCATGGCAGATGCCGTGTGATGATGATATATGATATGACATACATCCTGGGTTCATTTCCAGTGAGGCCCCAGTTGATGCATATGTGAACAATATACTTCCTTACTTTCTTGGTTAGAGAAACTGCACAATTAAGCAATACAGGCAGGGCTGCAGAGTCTCTGCACCAGTGAAGCTATGGTATACCTTGGTGGTTGATGGCAAATGTTATGAGATAACACCTGAAGAGGACCAGCTCTTAGTTTAATCTCTTAACAAACAGTACACATAAAATTTCAGTCAGACTATATGTTCTGAAAGAAATAAGACTTAAAGTAAAGTTTCCATCAGGTAACTCACCTGTTACCGTCTGGTCCAAATCTGAGGCAGAGGAAGCCTCTGAGGGATGTACAGCTCAGCTCATGGTTTGGTGAGCTGTTGGATTACCTGGATCCAAACTGAGCACCCATGGCAACCTACCAAATCACACTTTTTAATCATGCTGCCAGGAATTTATAAGCTAGTGACAGGCTCTAGGATGGTCTTGCCACTTCCTGCTGTGTTTCAAACAGGTGCCTGCAAGTCAGTAGCTTTCAAAGCTTTCGATTTGGTCATTCACGGGTGTCAATATGTGGACCACAGAGTGTACTCTGTACAACTATTCTACTTATTTTTTCTATACTACTTTTCAACTATTAATACTGTAGTGAAAGAACTGTAGCTCAAGGTTTTTATAACCAACCAAAACTAAACCAAGAATTAAAGACGAACCTGTTAGGCTCTATCCACACATTTTCATCCACTTAAATAGTTAATCATAAGGAGAAAGATGGGGCACAGTTTGGACCAGTCTATTACAGGGCTAAAATATGACAAAAAGTGTGATTAATGAGCAAAAGAACCATTTTTTGAGTATGAAAAGCACAAGATATATGTCATAGCCCCATTTTTATGGCCTACTGTACACCTTAATGTACAGCAAAGTCCAATAACAACAGTCAGTTGATGATCTGATGTTCTCGTTTTCCTTGTGAATATAACAGTGTGCGTTGTGGATGTGGATTCTTATCATGAAGGTATTTTCTAGATCTTTCCTTCACTGCATAGCTGCTATTGCATAACTGTTATGTACTTCATGTACACTTATTATCACATCAGTTTAGGCAGTTGTGGCTCAGGAAGTAGAGCACGTTGCTGTCTTACCATAAGGCTGGTGGCTCAATCTCCAGTTCCACAAGCCTGAGTGCTCTTTGGGTAGGATACCCAACTCCAAATGAGTCCTCAAAGGTAGGGCTGCTCAATAAATCGAATTTTAATCAC